TTAGGAGAAATCATGGCTTCCCAGTTGGGTGGTCAAAGATCAAGTGGAAGAAGAATGGGAATGACCAGCAGACTGCCCAGTGCCAGTTGATACAGAGCAAGGACATGAATGTACTTGCTATTTTCCCCTCCTCCTTCCTGCTCCAGAAAGCACTGGGATGCCGATAAAGGGAGGAGGATGGATGAGTCTCAAGGGCTAGTTCCTTCTCATTTCTCCAGTTTGCCAGTCGAGCTGCCTGCACAGTAGAAGTATTTTACCCTCCATTCCACTGTAGAATTTGATTCAGGAAAATGGCGGCATGTGGGTTTCATTTTTTTTTTTTCTCTTAAACACAATGTACACATATTAAAGCCTACACATGACACAAGATTTAGCAAAATAAAACGTTCACGATATGATTGAAATACGGAAGTGTCTCAGCTACATAAATGACTTTAAATTATACAGTAAGTGAACAGGTGAAATAAACAAAGCTATAGCTTATAGAAAGCTCAAAAACCGCCCTCTGCCAACATCGCTTTGCAAAGGACCCTTCTTTGCCCAGGACCTGCTGTTCTCTTCGCCAGGGCCTGGCAGATGGGACTGTGGTTCCACCAACATTTCTGCAGGGGAAACCTCAGATGACTCATGCTCAGGCCTCACCCCAGGTCCTGCTTTGTGTGAGTGGAGGTGGCCCCACCAGGGACCAAGAATTATCAATGCTTCATAGAGGGGATGCTGATGTCCATTTGTGGGAGGACACTTGTGTGGGTTGGGTCAGGGGTTCCACCTTAGAAGACTTTAAGGTTGAAATCAAGAAAATCTCAGAACACCAAGGCTGGGGCTTACTTCTTAAAAACCACTGGACTGCTGACCTCAGCTCCTTTTGCTTATACTGCTGCATTGAGAGGACAAAGCCTCCCATTTCCCCCCCACCAGATGGCATGACCATAAGGTGAAAGATACAAGAAAATAAAATGGATCCCACAGAAGCTGGATGCCTGTACTCCTTCCCACTGAGGAGTTCTACCAAACACCTTGCCTGGGCGTGTGTGTGTGTGTGTGTGCACACAAGACATTACAATGTGTTGTTTGCTTCTTTTTTTTTTTCTCCTGTTTCAATTGGCAGCTCTGTTTCCTAAAGTGGAATGAACTGAAGATACAAATACTAAGAGGATAAATACCCATAATCTGAAAAAAAGAGACAGAGCAATCATGTTAAATGTCACCGTCCTACCACCCCCAACTCTGTAAAATATACATTCTCACCTACTCTTGGCATCTCACTTTCAATACTTAAACTTAAAATAATTTTATTTAATCAGAGAACTTATATTATAGTTTTATTTCAAAAAAAACACACACAAAAAAAACCCTACAGCTGATTGCAGAGTCAGGCTTCCCCAGTGACCACTGATTTTAATCCCATGAGGTGAAGACCTCAGGAGGTGGTGTTCGCCCACCAGTGAGCTGGGGGAAGAAGAACAGGCTGTCTCGAAACCCAGGAAAGTGGCCATCTAGCTGAGGCAGGACACTTTGCAGCTTTCCCTCCTGTGCCCCGGCCCCTGACCCACACTAACTCTCATCTCCCACCTGAGCCAAGCCAGTAAGGCAGTTAAATGAAGGCCCCAAACATGAAGCAGGAGAAAAGGATAGGGACAGAGGTCAGATGACCCCAGTTAGAGGGATGTCAAGAGTGTTCAGAATTTCAAATTTTAATTAAAATGAAAAAAAAAAGTCAACTTGGAATGTCATGATTTTCTTCAAACAAGCAACAACAAAAAAATAGAAGAGATTATACTACTGGCATATTTAACAGCATTGAACAGAATTCTGTGTCCTGTAAAAAATTAGCTTATGTCCCCGTGTGGGTATATGCAAATGTGTATACAAACACATCCCCCTAGGTGAGCTAAACCCTACTTCGGAAATAGTATTCTCTACCCAAATCTACTTGACTATATTGGTGGATAGTGTATGGTGTGTGTATTCCTCCAATTTACATAAAGGCAAGCTCCTGGCCAAATCTACGAAAGAGTTTTCCAGGAGGAAGTCTTGTGGGAGATAGAGAGAGGAAAGACATTCATCTCAGTCTTTCACCTGAGCTTTTGTACAAGGCAGGCAAATTGCCTCCTGACCTCAGGCAGATGTTTAAGTCTTCGTCAACTAAGAAAGTTCTGTTATTCTGGCCTGGCTGCTTGCTCCAGACTCAGAAACATCTGGTCAATCCCAGCGGCACTGGCCTGGGGGAACTGTGTGTACTGCATCCTCTCAGACCCTCTCCTGCCGTCTCTTCCTTCCCTCCCTCACTCTTACGTTCAGACACAGACAGACAGTCTGGTTGGGACATGCAGTAGCATCTCCTTGGTGTATAAGATCTTCTGCGTACCTTGAGTCTGTCTGCTTGCTGCCCTGGACTGATCCTGAAACAGTTGACCTCTCAGCATCTTCCTTGTCTGTGTCTTTTATGTACTGGGGTGGAGGAGAAGAGCCAAGGGAAAAGGGTCTGGGAGATGGTGAGGTGGGGAAGAGGAGAGAGGGGTAGATGTTAACAATGCCCAAATGGGGTAGTTTTTCGATATTTGTTTTCCTAAAAAAATAGATTATATTATCACGAAGAAGAGGAGTGTACATTCCTCATTCTTTCTGGCATGGCGCCAAAAATTCCCGCGTGGAAATGGGTGATGTCAAGGCCAAAAAGAAGGGGCAGGGTGGGGCCAGGAGGATGGTTCCAAACAAACTCCATATGACAGCATAGACTTTTCCTTAAGTGTTCGAAGTGCTAAATTTGCAAGAAAACAGGCACTAATGTCATTGTCATCATCTGGGAAGAGTTAGTGTCCGAGGGAAGCTCAGCGGGAAGGGAGGGAGGTGAGGTGGGGTAGGGTCTGGTGCTCAGGGGTCTGTGGCATTGATGATGCTTTTGTCCGGGGGCGCCCATCCTCGGTACCAGCTGCAGTAACCACCCTTCTGCCGGATGCAGGCGTAGTGTTTGGACTGGTAGCCAGGGTAGCCGAAATTGGAGAGCATGTCGGTCCAGAGGCACTCGTTCTTGGAGGTCACAAAGCAAGGCAGGTAGTAGCAGGATTTGATCTGCAATTAGATAACAGCGAAAGGTTGGTGGGCTCTGTCATGGTGGACCCAGTGTTGATGCTTCCTCAAGTCTAGATGCTCACCACTGTAGTGGAGCCCAGCCACATCAGTCCCTTAGTGAAAGTAATAGAACACTCACTAACACTTACTAAGCACCACTGTGTACCAGATATTCTGCTCAGTGCTTCTATGTTATTCTCTTTAGTTCTCATAACAGATTTAGCTCCCTTTACAGATAAGGAAATAGAGGCTCACAGAGGTTAAGTAACGTGCTCCAGGTTACACAGCCCAAAAGTGGTGGAATTAGACATTCAAGAGAGCTTTTCCTTCTCAAATGGCAACAGGCAAGGATGAGCAATCTCAGCTGTTGTGGGAATTGAGGAATTAAAAAGATCAAAGCATAAACTTTGGGCATCCAGCTGCCCTAGGAGAGAAATCAGACTCAGTGAGCTGTGTGACCTGAGGCTAGTTACTTGAGCTCTCTGAGCCTCTATTTTCTCATCTGCAAAATGAGCGCAGTAGTAATGAAAACCGCACAGAGTTGTTGTGAGAATTAGTGAGAGAACAGTACAGCTCCCTCCCGCAGCAGGAAGGCTGTGTGCCATGGCCCTGGGCTTGAGTCAAGGAATTGGGCCTGATTGAAGAGTGACCTTCTGCAGCATTTGGTATCAGCAGTCCTGTGCCAGCTCGGCCACCTTCAGCAGGGGCCACCAGTGAGGCAGCTGCCCTGGTGAGCCCACTGGGACTGCTCAACAGGACCTGTCAGCATTAGGATCTTGTACCTGCCACAACCTTGAGCCACAGGAGGGGCCAGGGATGCTGAAGAGTCCTTGTGCCCCGGCAGCTGCCAGGTGGGCAGCTTGGAGGCAGCAGATGACACAGAAAGGCACTCTTCTCCCACCTTCTTCGTTGCTCAGCCTGGGGGCAACATTCCTCACCACCCCTGTTCAGACCTGCCCTTCTGCCCTGGCCCGATGTGCATGCCCCTCTCAGCACAAGGGCCCAGTGCCCAGTACGGCCAGAACTGACGTTTCTCGGGCTGTGAGCCAGCTCTCTCCCGTGCCTGCCCTCTCCAGGGCTTACCTTGCAGTTACAGCCCAAGTGATACCGGTAGTTGAGCCCCTTGCGCTGGGAGAGGGTGAGCTGGTCCCACCTCTCCACGAAGTTGCACAGTCCTGTGTACATTTTACCATCATAGACACGGCCTAGAGGAGGAAAGAGGATAAGGGAAGAGTTGTTTTGTCCAGAGCCCAGCCACAGGCGAAAGAATTCTCACCCCCGAGTACCCACCTCAGACCAGGTACTGTGCTAAGTACTTTCTAGTCCTACGATTTTATTTCATCCTTCCCAACACCTTTGAGGCCAGACTGTGTTCCCATTTCCCAGGTGGGGAAAACCGAAGCTCAGAGAGGTTAAGTGATTTGCAGAAGGTCTTAAACCCATGAAGTGCTGGAGCTGGGACTAAGGCCAACTCGTCCCTTCACTCATCAGTGGTTGCTTGGTTTTGATCTTATTTTTTCCTTTCCCACATTGAGTGCCTGAAGGTGGGCAACTTTCAAAGATAGACCCAATAAATAGATTGTGAGGTATAGAGGAACAGGTACTCGAAATCCCTTTTTATTTATATAATATAGTAAAGCTGAGAAACTGCAGAACTAGGCAAAACTACATTTCCTCTGCGGGGCCGGTGATGGAGCTGAGACTAAAACCCAGCCTCTGGGTAGAGCCTCGAGTTCCTACCCCAGGCCAAGCAAGATGCACCCTACACAAGGTACTCCTTACAATTCACTGGGCACATGGCCAAGGTCCTAAGGACACTTCTGGGTCAACTACTGCTTCTCTGTCCTTCTGAAGCGAAGGACTGGTGGACCTTGGCCAAACTCTGGCCTAGATGCTAGAGTTAGCCGTTACCTGTCAGCAGGTACTGGTACTTGTTGACTTCTAGCTTCAGGCCACAGAGACTTTCAGAAGCTTCTGTGTGGATGTACTGCACGTGGGGCATCTTGGTGAAGCCTCGGTACATCTGTGGGCAGAAGGAATGTCAGGAGAGGAGGACCAGGGCTCAGAAAGCATGCTGTCATTTGTTCTGTGGAGATCCGATTCCCCTGATCCACCATGGTGTGGCCAGTCACTGACCTATCCACCCTGGGGCCTGCACTCCAGATAAAGCCGCCTATTCACCTCTTGTTTGAGCCATGGTTGGTGCCTTCCCAAAGAAACCTTCCTATCCAGCCAGTCACATCGCCCATTCCAGCACCTCCATAACAATGCACCAAATATATACTCTTCTCATATCCCAACACCTTTTCAGAAATCCAAAGAATTTGCTGTGAAAGGGGTCCTGCCTGCCTCACCAACCTTGGCCCCCAAATTCCAAGAAGGCAGCCAGCCAGCATTCTAATGACATCTCTATGACATTTCTCAGTGTATAAAAGCATTCCACTTATGTTCCCCTCACTCTATCCTCCCAAGAACCCAAGGAAGTAGGTATTGTACCCATTTTACAGATAAGGACTCAAAAATTCTGTTTGCTTGTTGAAAGTTGAACTCAGGCCAGGATTCTCCATGCTTTTATTTTTCTGAGCATCTGTTGAAAGCACTGGGTTCCTTTACCCCAGATAAAGCATATAAACACATACACAAAATTTCTAGATTTTTAACTAAACACTTTATAATTATTATGTTGCAGTGTATAAAAATGCTGATATTTGGCCATTTTTATCTACAACATAATCTAAGACAGTGTTTCTCAACTGAAGGCCATTTTACCCCCACCCCAGGAGACATCTGGCAATGTCTGGAGACATTTTTGATTGTCACAGATGGGAGGCAGTGGTGGTTGCTATTCACATCTGTGGGAAGAGGCTAGGGATGCTGTTAAATATCCTATGATACACAGGACAGCCCCCACAGCAAAGAATTATCTGGCCCCAAATAGTAGTAGTACCAAAGTTGAGAAATCCTCCTCCAATATTAACCCACCTAATCCCCATGACAGCCCCGTGAGACAGGAACTATTTATGCCCGTTTAATAGATGAGGAGGCTGAACCCCAGATGGGTAAAGTGGCTTATCTAAGGCCCTACGGTTGGCAAATGGCAGAGGTAGGATTCCAGGAAGGAGGATCTGCTCCAGAGTCCATGCTCTTCTAACCATTACCCTGTGCTGCCTCTCACTGTGGCCTCACAAGTTCATGCCCAAGGGCCTCTGATACAGGCAAATGCTGTTTATGGCTCTTGTGCCTTCTTTGTATCTGCACGTGCTCAGAGCCACTGGTGTGAACATAACGAGGCTGAACCCACTTGGGGATTCGAGGTCAAGACCACGAGTCTCACGTGGGTTCAGATCTGTTGAGAAAACTCTGTTAACTGTGTGAGCTGGCGAGGGTAGGAGGGGGCACTAAGGTGTGGCCCAATCCCATTATCCCCCTGGTTCTCAGAGCACCTGGGCCCTACCTAGATGGCTGGTGGTCTCCAAGGGTTTACAACAGGACAGTGTCTCTCCCTTCGTTCCTGACATGGGTTATTAATTTACTTATGGTAATTAATAAAAAGCCAGACATCACCTCACTGGTGTCTCATCTAAGTGCCTCCCATTTGCACTAACGGGCTGGGTTTTCTCCTTATTTTTCTTTTAAGTGGGGACTGGCTGGTGGGGCTAGGTGGTCCACAAGGACCTCCACCATCATAAAGGGTCTGTTGGACCCACAGAGTTTGGGAGCCTCTGCCTTTTTAAGGGGAATGCTGTTCTAATTGTTGCAACCATCAGTGCAGATAGTTTTAATTTACCTGGTCTCTCTTTTAACCCTCTTCTCCCGAGAGGCTCACCAGCTGAATGAGGAAACGCAGCCAAGCGCTGTGAGAACTGCTGTCCACACTCGGTTTTCAGTTATGCCGCGGGGGAGCAGGGGCGGGTCACAATGTACCCCCCACTTCCTCAGTGATGGATGGTGCCTCTCTGGCTTTAACAGGAACCATGCTTAAGAGCATGCTGTGTGCGTGCCATCAAGCGTGGCCTTCGGAGAACATTCCCTACACTCCCTCCTGTGCCCAGCAGCTTCTCCTCTGCTGTGGCTGTTCCTTGAGTTCCTGGCAAGTGTTTCAACTCGGTCCCCACTCCAGGTCTTTCAGACCCATGCCATTAGGGCCTCAGTACAACCTTGTCAGTCTTTCCCCTTCATGTCCTCTCTGCCTCATGAGTGAGGATCAAGGCCCTGTGTAGGGTCCAGTGACTTCAGCTGCTCAGTTGAGTTCTCACTCCTTTTGAATTTGAAGGAATCTTGATTTCTACATGGCTTGTAGCGCTTGCATGCAGAATCAAAACGTTAATGTGTTGTGAACGATGAGGTCTGAACAAGCACAGTGCTGCCTTTTAGGGTCAATTCTGAATTTAACCATGTGGTAAAGCAGATTGTACCCATTTCATTATCTTTTCTTTCTTTTTTTTTTTTTTACTGATAACTGGACAATTTATTCATTATGGCAGGGATATAACAAGAGTGGTTGTAAAGTGGCCAGTCTTATAAGTCAGGAGCTATGATCCTTGATCCACTGTTCAATCCACTTCAATATCTGATTGATATTATCCTCTAGATCTTCTCGTTTATTGCTGGGCAGTTGATGTACTATTTCTTCCTTGTAGGATGCTAATGCTTCTTCATAAAGAACTTGAAAAATTTCACACTGAATATTGTCTTTTAGTTTCTTTTCATTATAACCCCTTGTTTCAAGTCTTTCGTACAATACACTTATCTGCTTGCAGCACAAAAACTATATGAAACCAGCGTTCAGGAAAGAAATCACAACCATGGTAATCAACAATAACTCCACCTTCGCTCATTCGGTTTTTCTAAGTCATCAACTATTCTGTCTTCATCTAAAATGGGGCATTCATACTCTTCATCATAGCCATCATACAGCTGCCCTTCTCGAGCTAAATCACCCACATTAATGTATTTCAGTCCTGATCTTGATGCAAGTTCTTTGCCTAGTGTGGTTTTTCCAACCCCTGGTGTACCGGTGAGCAGGATGTTCAGAAGCAACATGGTCCTCACCTCACTGGCTCCGGGCGTCTCGTTATCTTTTCTTTATAATCATCCCATCTTGACCTAAATATTGACCCTGCAAGTACATTAGGTCTATATTCATAGAGACTGAGAACTGGTTTGACAAATTTAGGAGGGTCATGATAGGTTTGTAATGCCCTGACATCAGAGAATCACAGACTTTCAGAATTGGAAAACACAGTCAAATCTAGTCAAAGCATTGGAGGATTAATGGTCAGCTCAGGTTCTGGAGACAGCCAGCCAGTCTGAACCTTGTCTCTGCCACTTATTAGCCACTTAAACTCCTTGGGTCTCAGTTTCTTCACCCGTAAAATGAGGCAAAGTATTTACTTTATATGGTGTTTTTGAGAATTAAATGACTTAGAATAGTACTTGGTGCACAACATTCAGTAAAAGTCAACTTAAAACTAGTTCTACTTGAATTCATATCGGCAGAGGGAAGGCTTTGGTCCTCTTCTTTCTATATCCCTTTGCCCAACCTTATCTCTTAATGCAGGGATTTAAAGCTGGTTTGGAACTTCATATTAAGTGGGTTGTGTTCTCTCTCTCTCTCTCCAGCTTATTGAGGTGTGATTGACAAATAAAAATGCATCTATTTAGAGCATAAAACATGATGTTTTGATGTCTGTATACGCTGTGAAATGGTCACCACAATCAAGATAATTAACACATCCATCCCTCCCAGAGTTACCTTGTGTGTGTGTGTGATTCTCTTAGCAAATTTATTGTATTCTATATGGTATTATTAACTATAGTCACCATGCTGTACATTAGATCTCCAGACCTTACTCATCTTAGTTCTGTAGAACTGAAAATTTTTACCCTTTGACCAACATCTCCGCATTTCCACTACCTCCCAGCCCCTAGTGGCCATCATTCTACTCTTCTTCTGTGAGAAGTTCAATGGTGAGTTCAACTTTTTTAGATTCCATGTAAAAGTGAGCTTATGCTGTATTTGTCTTTTTGTGTCTAGCTTATTTCACCTAGCATAATGTCCTCCACGTTCATCTGTGTTGTCACAAATGACAAGATGTCCTTCTTTTTTTTTTTTTAAAGATTTTATTTATTTATTTGACAGAGAGAGACACCGCAAGAGAGGGAACACAAGCAGGGGGAGTGGGAGAGGGAGAAGCAGGCTTCCTGCGGAGCAGGGAGCCCGATGTGGGGCTTGATCCCAGGACCCCGAGATCATGACCTGAGCTGAAGGCAGATGCTTAACAACTGAGCCACCCAGGCGCCCCAAGATGTCCTTCTTTTTTAAGGCTGAATAATGTTCTGTCGTGTGTAGACACACACCACATTGGACTCTATAAGCCTCTGGGCCTCCCAAGAGGTAGCATGTACACAAGAGTTTGAAGAATTTAGCTTCCCTTGGGGTGAAGGGAGAAATAGTGTTAAGAAGGAAATTTCTGAATCTGGGGGCTTTGAATATTTCTTATGGAATGCCTGGTTTTCACTCTGCATTGACAGCATGAAATATCACCATCCTGTCAAATACGGCCAGCATGCCTGAAGATGAGCACTGTGCTGGATGCTGCTTTACACCATGAACTCCTTTAAACCCACAACTTATTCGCATTTGCAGACCAAGCAACTGCGTTTCAGAGACATTAGATACTAGACTGAGATAAGTACAACCAAAGTTTTTCCTTCTCTATAAGAGAAAAGCAGAGCACATGAGGATGCAGGCCTTCTCTGTTGAGGGCTAGCTGAGAGCCCCAGACCAGAAAGAGTTACAGGCAATGAGAAGGAGAATGGCTCCCTGTGGGCTGGAGGGTCAGAGAGGCTTCCAGCTGGAGCTTCAAAGGCAAGACCTTGCAATAGTGCTCATTTGATTAGACAAACCACTGAAGGAAGTCCCCAGGGGCCAAGCATTCCAATTGCCCAGCAAATCTGTCCTGCCCAGAGTCAGGACATGCAAAGCACATGACCAGTGGGCCTTCCCATGGAACGCCCCTGCCAGGACCAGCTGGGACATGATGTTCCCCACGTGCTGTCCCCTGCCGTGCTAGCCTGGGAGCATGTCTCCACTGCACAAATTGCAGCTCCTGGCAGAGCGGACTGCTTTCTCATGGTCCCGATAGGAGATAAGGTCCCGACAGATTGGAGTGACCAATTCTGGCAACTGCTCCAGCTGTCTCCACGTTTGAGTTTGCAATAAGCTCCCTTAACATTCGTACACTCCCCCCACACACACCTGTGCGTGTGTCTCTGCCTGTAATGTGTACCAGAGGTTCTGGAATTAGCATATGGGAGAGGGTCTGCCTGCCTTTCATCTGGGTGAGAAGTTCGAGCGGAGGAGGTGGGAACTCTGAGACAGAGGGAGAGGTGAGACAGGGAGGCTCAAATTCTCATGTTCTCCGAGCTCCTTTAGTTCTGCTCTAAGGGAGCCCTTGCTCACCCCGTCCGACTCTCTGGGGTAGACTCTAATCCACCAGAACAAAGCCACCTAGGGACCAGTGCCAAAACTCATGCAGGCTCGCCTCTACTGGCCTCTCCTCCTTCTCTCCCACAGAGTTTTCAATGCACCCTTTGCAGGATGTTGCAAGTCAAGAGCTACACTGCTGGTTGACAAACGAACAAACCCAAGCTAACCTCTTTTTGTTCCCTTGTGGAACTACATACAAATGGGGTGGGGTAGGCCCCAAGGGGGCAGGAATGATGAATCAGCCCACAGCTCCACTGCTCTGTAATCTCCCTGTTGGCAAAGGCTCTATAGCTTCCCTGGCGTCTGCCACTTTCTAGTCCTATGAACTTGACTGTTACATGACCCTTCCAGGTCTCGGCTGCCTCACCTGTAAATTAGAGGATAATGTGTATCTACTTCATAGGGTTGTTATGAGGTCTGATCCATGCAAAGGCTTAGCAGAATGCCTGGTACACAGTAGCTTGGTACATATCACTTGAATAGAGTCTTATATTCATTGTAACAAATATTATCTGGGTATCCCCAGCCTGAAGCACAGTGCTCAGCACAGAGAGAGTGAGAAGGAAGGAGAGAGGAAGGGAGGGGGAAGGTTAGATGAACTACTCCAATCCCTACACCCCATACCTGATTAGCAGACTGCTCCCTGGAGACCAGCAGAATTCAGTGGCCTCTCAGGACAGAAGGGCAATGACCCTTCTACGAGTTATGTAATATTTGGCTGGTAGGAGGGGCAGAGTTAATAAAAAGGCATTACATAGTGATTGATGATCAAAGCGAGATGGCAGGGAGATTTGGGGAGCCATGTAAAGAACACACAGGATTGGGAAGGAATCCCAGCACCCTAGTTTGGAAACCAGATCTGTCTTTAATTAAATGCATGACTGGGCAAGTCATTTCCCCTTTGAGCCTATGTCAGAAGTAAAACAAGGAATTTTACTTTCCAGTGCCCTACACCCTGGTTCCATGAATCCGGGTAAAAGATAGCGAATGGATAGTGTGATGCCACCAGCCTGGGAGTGGGTGTGTGTGCTCTGAAGCTGATGCATGAACAAATGTAATTTGACCTCCGAACAACCCCCCAGAGGCTGGCCTGACACCAGCGAGGGGGGAATGGGACCTTCTGATCACCCTAGTGTCCAGGCCCCAAAAGAAGCAGGGAAGCTAGGCAAGCTTAGGAACCACTGTCTCCCAGCTGTTCCCTCAGATCTGCTGGCCAGAGTGTCCATACTGTGATGGGTTGTTCCAGAGTGGGGCGGCATGGGGGAGGGAGTGTTGCCTGAACCTCTGCTTTGTCTAACATGCTTTGGCATTTGCTCACTGGCTGCCAGGGGCTGTACAGTGGGGGTTTCTTTGGTTGTTGTTGATTTCTTGGTTCCCCCCTCCACACTCTTCTCTCCCCATGGCTGTCTGAAGACATAAGCTGGTCCCATGACCAGGCTTGGGCAGCCAAGGGCACCTAGCCAGGGCTGACTCTGGACATTACATAACCAGAAGGCTGTGGATATTTCCAAAGTTGAATCCAAAGCAACAGGTTATGAACTTAGTACATCAAACCTCAGGCCTTAGGATGCAGGAATAATGAGGCCTGGAAGTCTGCCTCTGGGATGGTTGGGTACCACCCATGGGCTATCACTACCCCCATTCAGTTCTACCTGAGTGTCAAGCCTTGTCTCCTCTGGGGAGTTTTCAGGCCAGTAGAGTCTCACCCTCATTTCTCCATTAGATGGATAAACATCCACCAAGTCCCTGTTGTGAGCCAGGTCCTGCTCTAGTTTCTGGGGATGCAAATATGGGCAGTGAGTAAAAGGGCTGGCAGTCCACTTGGACCTGAGCATACCCCATCTTGAACTTCTGATTAGTCATGCACGTGTGTCTTGGGTCTTCTCTCCCGACCTGACTATACTTCCTTAACATAGGAGTCCCATCTTTCTCGTGGCCTCCATGGCTCCTGGCACAGGGTGCTGCACATAGGGAGGTGCTTAGAAAAGTGGGGTGATGGACCAGCTGCTGAGCTATTCGGGGTGAGTGAGTACCAGCCCTCTATGCTAAGGCAAACATAAGTACCCCTTTCTGGCACCCAAAGCAGCTCTTGCTTAGAAGTAACACCACACAAAGGGGTGCCTGGGTGGCTCAGGCGGTTAAGCGTCTGCCTTTGACTCAGGTCATGATCCCAGGGTCCTGGGATCGAGTCCCACGTCGGGCTCCCTGCTCAGAGGGGAGCCTGCTTCTCCCTCTGCCTGCTCTGTCTGCACCTTCCCCTGTTTGTGCACGCTCTCTCTCTGATAAATAAATAAATAAAATCTTTTTTAAAAAATAAAGAAAAAAAGGAAGTAACACCACACGTGTCCCAGGGCACTTAGAATCCTGAAATGCCTGAGCTAAGAAGAGCTCTTAGGGGCATTAAGCACAACCCTGCACTGTTTTTTTGGTTTTTTGGGGTTTTTTTTAAAGATTTTATTTATTTATTTGACAGAGAGAGAGAGACAGCAGGAGAGGGAACACAAGCAGGGGGAGTGGGAGAGGGAGAAGCAGGCTCCCTGCTGAGCAGGGAGCCCGATGTGGGGCTAGATCCCAGGACCCCGGGATCATAACCTGAGCTGAAGGCAGACGCTTAACGACTGAGCCACCCGTGCACCCCCCCAACCCTGCACTGTTAACAGGTGGCTAAATGGAGGCCCAGGAAAGGGGGGATTCCAAGGTAAGCAAGCTATTTAGGTGTAGAACCAAGACAAATAAGCAGGTTCTGCAGGTTTGAAATCTGATGTTCTTTGTAGTAAGGTGGACTTCCTTAGTATGCTTCATAATGTTAATATGCTCAGGAATATGTTCAGTGTATGAATATGCTTAGTAAACGGTGCTAACCACCTGGGATGCAAGCTCTGGGAAAACAGGGAAAGAGGGTGCAGTTCCTACTCCAGGATAAGGTTCCTGTGATCAGCCAAAGTTCAGTGTAAAGATTCGAGGAGTTAAACATAAATTGTAATCTCAGCAACTGCATATTTTGAAACTCAAAACTGAGAGCTCCGAAGAGCCTGTAAGACAAACTAGTCCCATCCCCTCATTTTACAGATGGGAAGATTGACACCCAAAGAGGGACAGTGACTTGGCCAAGGTCTCGCAGTTACCAGGGAACAAGGCATCTGCCATCTGGTTCCAGAGTCGAGCCTCTTAACAATGGCCTCTGAGGGACTCCACTTGCGCTGGCTCTAGGGTGAAGCAGCCACATTCCCCCCACTCCCTGCCATCCCTTTCTTCTGCCTCAGCAATGCCCTTTCCAGCAGTGGGGAGGGCTACGCACACCCACCTTGCCTCCCCTCGCTAGGACTCTACTGCCAAAAAACCCGAGAGCTCTCCTGGAGCTGGATTCTGTTACTCACCTTCATCTGCTTGATGGTGTAGACCAGCGTGCCAAAGGGCCCCTCCTTCACCAGCTTCTTCCCTACCACCTTGGCCCGGATCACTGCAGAAAAAGGCAAGATATAGACAGAAAGGAGGTTAGGGAGACTTGAACCACATCAGGGACCACATCTCAGATTGGGTGCCTGGAATTGCTTTCTTACCTCTGGGCTAACTTGAGTAGATGATTGTGTTTATAAAAGCAAGAATTCAGAAGAGAGACACTGGGGGGTGGGAGAGGAATGGAGGCGAGAAGGCAGGCAGTCATCATTCAACTTAATTATCCCAAATGTTCACAATTGCCAACCCTGGAAATTCCTAGGCTGCATTCACCCCTGGAGGAGTTTCTTAACTCTGGTTTTACCATAATCCAAAATCTACTGCTCTTTTTAGAGCCTCTTGCCATCCCTTCATTGTCCATCTGAAAATTGCCTGGTCTCCCAGACCTATTTAGCTCTTTCCACCAGGACCTCTTCCTGAATGCTACTTCATTTGGGGCTCTCCTTTGCATGCATACATTCACTGAGTCCTGACAGGCCTGCAGGATTGCAATGCATCCCAGCCTCTCTCCATGGCCGGTCAGCATTCTGATGGGGCCTTTCATTCCTAGCACTTAGATGGATGGCAAGTTATGCAGTAAAGCATAGCTCAGTTAAGATGTGGTTGAGGAGGGAGAAGTTGGGAGTAGGGGCTCAGGAGCCAACGGAACTGTTCTAACCCCAGCTCTGCTCTTTATGGCTATTATGACTGTGGGCAAGGAACTTTGTTTCTGGCCTCCAATTTCCTCTTCTGTAAAGCCGGGATAATAATGGTACCAATCTCCTGAATTGGAAGGATTAGGTAAGATAATGCATGTGAAACTCAGCACCGTGTCTCCGACATAGTATATGTTATATGAACATTATTGATATCATCATCATCATCATCATCATCACCAAAAATGGCATGGGCTGACCATGGAAGGATTGCTGCCATTAAAAGTAGCTCCCATTTATCACATGCCAACTGTATGCAGTACATCTCATTTATTTACCCCTCAAGACTGTTTACAAGGGCAATATCACCATCCACATTATACAGCAAGGAAACTGACAGAGAATTAAAGCCACTTCCTCTTCTGAACCTCACTTTCCTCCTCTGTAAAGAGAGTGTAAGTCTACTTACATCAAAGAATTGGAATGAGGATTAAACAAAGATCTTATGAAATTTCTTAGTACAACATCTGGCAGAAAGGAGTTGCTTAGTAAACATCAGTTGACTATGAACAGGAAAACTGTTAGACCAATGTGAGGAAGCCTGTAAGATAGGCATTTACTACATGCAGTGAGAACACAGAGGAGGGATGGATTTACTTTGAGATTATAAGAGGCTGTGCATTCTTTTTGTATTTTATGTGAAGAAGAAGCACCCAGTAGCTGTCTTCAGATATTTTATAGAACTCACACATGGAGGAATAATGGACAGATCTTAAAGACAATTCAGAAATTACAGAGAAATTGTGTTCATTGGCTCAACCGAAAAAAAGTCATCTAATAACAAAAACTGGCAAGAAAAGGGGGTCTGGAAGCTCTCATGCTAGGACCTTGCCCAGAATGGAATGGATTTTACATGTATAGCAGCCGTGCTTTGAGTCACAAGCTGAACTCTTCAAGCTCTAAGATCCTGTCACTCTTTCTTACCTCTAGTTGTACTTAGCCCCTAAAAAGAGTAGGTACTCAATAAATGTCTGTTAAACAGAATACCACACACACACACACACACACACACTCACTCCTGCCCATGCTGGTAGCTCCATTATCCTTCCCCATTTGTTTCTCAATTCATTGACTCTAATCTCTTAAATTAAAACAAAATAGGGCGCCTGGGTGGCTCAGTCGGTTGAGTGACTGCCTTCGGCTCAGGTCATGATCCCAGGGTCCTGGGATCGAGCCCCGCATCGGGCTCCCTGCTCAGCGGGAAGCCTGCTTCTCCCTCTCCCACTCCCCCTGCTTGTGTTCCCTCTCTCGCTGTGTCTCTCTCTGTCAAATAAATAAATAAAATCTTTAAACAAAACAAAACAAAACAACCTTTATTAGGAACCAATCTCTGCTACTCCAACTGGATTCTGTCCTGTACCTCCCCAAATGAGTTTGGATCCCACTCTTCCAGTCAGACATGAAGTCAAGACTCAGATGAATCAATAGCCCCTCCAGACCTTCTTGCCAGGGAGGGTAAAACACAGAGCCCATTGGCGAAGTTAGCAATTTAGCGGACTCAGCTCAGATTGGGAGGAGGCGAGTGGCTGTTTCCAAGTCCGCTGCAAAAACGAGCAGTTGGCAAGATTCCAGGCCAAGCTCCCTCAACATTCTGCCTCCACCTCTGTGTCTAACTTTGTAGCAGCATCCTCGGCAGGGAGCCAGCCTCCCAGAGGCCCAGGGACTATTTCCTCTACAGTAACTCCCACAGTCAGGTTGTAACAGCTTAACTGTTGGGCAGAGAGCATATCTGCCAGGACTCTACTATTGATTCTTCCTGAATTGATTTGGCTCCATCCTCTGCTGCTTCATTAACATAGAAGGTAAACTAGCAAGTGAGTCTTTGCCTTAGGGGGGAAGAAATCGCAAAAGGGATTTCTTTAAATAGCAACTTCTACCCTTTCCTGGCTCAAAAATGGCTTGACTTCATTTAGACATAACATGTCATAAGCAGACCTGTCCCATAAAGCTAGGTACTTCTGGAAGCTTCTGCACACATAGCGAGCCAATTCCTTCCTTACCTGAAATGGCCTGAGCTTGGAACATTTTCATCTGAGAATAGTTCAGTGAAATGGGAGTAAGTTTCTGTAGTCAGGAAGCCACTTTTGAGTTTCAGTTCCACCATTACCGTGCGGCCTCAGGCAAACCTGTGTCCCCGACCTCCTTTCTCCTAAATCTTTCTGATTGTCTTGGCCCAGTGCCCATCACGTGGCTTACAAGCCATGTCCTAATTCTAGTGGAGCAGCAACATGGCAGAGCATGGAAGAGCATGGAAGAGCCAGGGCTCTGGAGCCTGACTGCCTGGGTTCGAATCCCAGCAGTGGTGCCGCATGACCTTAGGAAGGTCATTAAACCCTTCTGTGTCTTCGTTTCCTAATTTATAGCAATTCCTCATAACCCTCATGCTTATGATGACAACAGAGTGTTTGCTGTCACTGCTGTTAGAATACCACCCCTACCAGTGACCCCTATTGTTATTTGTCTGAGTATCTTTATCTTCTAACATACACCATAAGCTAAGGCCTAGGGGTTCTCTCTGGGGAAGAAAGGCAAGCTCCTCAAAATATCTGGCCACACAGAATTTCGGGGAGAGGTGGGGGAGTACATGTAAACTGGTCAGAACAAACATACAAGGTGTTTTTAAGTCTGGAGCACCCACCTCATCACAGGGACCTGTCCTATCTCATCACCCACATGTAATCCAAGAGCAGCCCACCAGGACCAACCTTGATCAAGTGGTTATGGTCCAGAAAGTCTGGCAGAGAAGGCCCAGCATAGAGGCCACACCAGTGTTTTCTTTATAAAAACAAAACTGCCCTACACTGAACTAAAATTAAGTAATATTCTGCTCTCCCAAAGAGATTCACAAAGCCCTTCCAGAGTAAAAACACCAGCCAACCTCAAACCGCCCATTAGGTCTGTGAATTAATATGTCTTTATTTGCTTCGGTTTCTCCTCTGCAATGCAAATGTGTGCTATTTTGTACTTTCTTGTTTGGCAATAACGGTGCTCCCAAGTATTCGCTGGCCTGGGGGCCACAGTGGACAGGGGAGGTATGGAAGGTCACGGTTCTCCAACAACAACAGAAGACAGTTTCCAAACTTAGAGCTGGCAGCATGTTGGCCTGTTCCCGCCACCTTGGTGTAGTGGCTAGAAGGCAGCTTTACAGATGGGCTGGGCTAGACAAAGGTTTTCTTTCTTCTCCTTCATGCTGGAACGTGGCCCCCACTGTCTACCCAGTGTCCCCCAGCAGCTAAACCGACATGGGTGTGAGCTGGATTGGTGTGCTGGTGGGGGTGATGACGAGAAATAGAAGTTCCATTTCCTACCTCCACAGAGCACAGCTAGTGGGAAGACAAAGTTTAAAAGTTCATGGCTAGAAGGCTAGTGTCCAAGGTCTGAAAGCACCAGTCAGGGAAAGGGGCAATGACGAACAGCCTGAATCTCAGTCTTGGAGCCTCGTGGCTCCTGGGAAAGGAACCTGGGCTTCCTCAAAGGAAAACAGAGTAAACAGTATTTTAATTTAAAAGTCTGTAAGAAGAAACTGACCAGGCTATGTGTGCTTATGTAATTGGCACATAGACCTGTAAATATATGTAGGGTCCTCTTAAATGTATCATACACCTGAGGGTCCAGGTGTAAAGGTATATCTCTATATAATTTTCTTTCTTTAAATAATTTTTGTGGGGAGGGCTAGTAAGAGCTTGCAAAAACAAGAGAAACAAGGCACATCCCTTCCAGAAATATAGTTGTGTGCTGCATGCCCCCACCTCCATCCATAGTAATGTAGACCATGAGCAGCACAAGTTTTGAACAAAAACAATTCCAGTGGCAAACAAGATTCAGCTTCCAGTGCAGCTTACTGCTGTGTCCAGAAGTTGCACATCTGCAATTCGTCAGCATATTCAGAGGGGACAGGATGCCCACGAGAAAGCCCCTGCCTCTCACCCTCTTCTTCCACCTCTCATACAACCACCTTCAATCAAACCAGACCTTTCTACCCCGATCTGATGGTTGGACTTTCCTGCTAGCAGGTTGGAATGCAAAGTTTGGCTGAGTTTTGGATCAAGGATCCCTTAAATGAATTAATGTATACCAACTTAAGACCATGGATTCTGCCCATCTTAGATCTTGGGATTCTGTTGAGAGCACTACAGATCCTCCCTATGGTAGAGGAGTTGATTCAGCCATCACATGAGTGAAATACTTTCAGTATATACACATACCCCCTCTACACACAC